TGTTAAAAAAATTAATGAAATGTTGGAAATCTGGGAACAGAGTGAGAGGAGTCAGAGCTAGTCACATTCAAGAAATTCCCCAAATGCCTAGGGGTTGTTTTAGCCACTGAAAAGAACAAACACGTATCCATTCAAATGGTTACACTGACCATGTGACCTTTTGATCTGGTCTTTGGTGACAACTCCTCTTATCTGACAACTGTGATCAGCTGGAGCATTTGTCAACAGCTGTCCTTTTAAGTATTCATTTCTTTGGGTCACACGTTTTCTGGAACTGTTCCTGAGGAATGTATCTAGGTTTTGCTTTCATGTATTGTACAGATTAATTGACTTACTAAAGCAAGGTTTGTTTGGTACTAATAACTTTTTGGAGTTGTCTTCTCTACAACCCAATACATGCAAAGCAAACATTTTCCATGACGATTTACTGGTGGTCAGGCCCCAGCATTTAAATGGTGTGAACGGTCCCGCCTCAGTACATTTCTCATCCTGGGTCTTCTTTCTGTGACCTGTCTTTTGGGAAATGTTTGAATTTCCCAGTAGTTGCTTATCTCTCTTTGCTCCCTGAAGCAACTTCCTTCAATTTTGCCCATTAGAATTTGTTCCTAGAAGCTTTTGAAATTCATTAAAATTAGCATTTGGGTGCAAAGTACACTTTTTCTAAAGAACTTAAATTCATATTGCAAGTAAAGAGTTGTAATACTTTCATGTAGATCAGTTCAGTGCTTATGAAAGAAACAAATTATGATACAGTTTAGTGGATTTGAAAGGGGGGAAAAAAAGGAAATATTTCCAATGAAAGACATAAGACAATACCATCAAAGAACAACTTGATCAATATTATTTGCTCTCATAGACATAATCAAGTCATTTATTTTTTTTCCTGCTTCTATGAATGATCCAAAAATTATAATAATTTTGGGCACAAAAGGCTACCGGGAATCCTTGAAGTTCATTCTTCTCGCATCACATGCTTTAATGCACCCTCCGGTGACTGTCTGGGGTGATTTTTTTTTTCTCTAGCAACATTGGCAAATACTTTATTCTGATAGAATTAAAAGGATCCAAGCAGTGTCCTCCTTGGGGATAATGTTCCTGTAATCTGTCCTCATAGGGAATGCTGGTGTACAGAGAGGGCTCCAGATATCACTTTTTCTGTTTCATCATGCTCTCCTGCATTGTCCCCCCATGCCACTGTTTGTGGCTGTAGTGAGCTGTAGTGGCTCTTGGGAGGGAAGGAGTTCCAGAGCTGAAGAGCATCTGCTGATAATGACCCACCATATGTTTTCAGCAAGCAGACTCAGCGTATTGGCTGACCTTGGGGATCGCAATGGACCTAAATAATGGTGAATGTTCATGGCTCAGCAGCACCTTTAATCTCACTGTCTTTGCTGGGTCCCCCTTCCCTGGCAGTGAGGGCGAAAACTGCAGAATTAATTGCCTCTCAGCCACTCAGTGGCAGGGAGGGGGAGGAGAGGTACATGGCAAAAAGAGCAAGATTAAAGTTGCCATAGCACTGCAAACTTCCACCGTGATGTTGGTAGGTCCCTGATCATAAGAGAATCTGTCCCTTAGGTAGGGCTTAAACCAGCATCTTGAATTTTACCTGGAAAGCTACTGGGAGCCAATGCAGACTCATATGGAGTCATATGCTGCTGGCCACTCATCCCTATAAGAAGCTGGGCCATTGAATTCTGTACCAGCTGCAACTGCTGCATAGTCTTCAAGGAGAGCTCCATGTAGAGCACACTGAATTAGTTTACCCTCGAGGTGAGGAAGGCATAGATGACGGTGAACAGATCTGAATCTGAAAGAAAAGGTCACAGCCTTTTCACCAGATAATAGGCACTCCCAGCCACTGCTGCTAGCTGAAGACCCAGATATGTAGTAGAGGATCCAGGAGCACTCCAAGGTTGAAAACCTAAGTGACAAGGGGAATCTGAACCCCATCAATAATAGGTTTACCAAACAGTCCTACCTCACACAAAGCAAGCTGTCTGCCCACTGTCATCACCTCTGTCTTATCTGGATTCCATTTCAATTGGTTCACCTGCCTCCAAATCCCAACTGTAGCCAAGCACTGGGAAAGGACAGGCTGTACGGCCAAGGTCAGAGGGAAAAGGTAGAACTGTGTGTCATCAGCATATGGATGGTATCTCTGTACAGTCTCACCCAGAGACCTCATATACATGTTGAACTGGAGTGGCAACAAGATGGACCCCTGGGGGATCCAACAGGAAAGGTCCCAAGGAGTTGACAAGCACTCACCCATCACCATCATCTTGGACCTCCCTGCTAGGAAAGAGCAGAACCAATTTAGAGTGGCCCCAGGAGTACCCACCATGTCCTGTAAGCACTTTATCAGCACCTCATGGCTTGCTGAAAGATCTAGTAAAATCAGCAGGACGCAATTTCCCTTGTTGACGTCCAGGTAAAGATCATCAACTATAACTATAAACACAATCTCTAGACCATATCCAGGATGAAAACCAGACTGAGGAGGGTCTAGGAATCTGATCCCTGGAGCTATTGGGTTACCCTGTGTTCAGTGATCTTCCCCAAGACAGGAGGTTGGAGACAAGGTGATAACTACCTGAAGAGTCAGCATCAAACAATGGTTTCTTGAGTAGGAGTCAGACAGTCACAGACTTAAGAATGCCCAGCACCCTTTCCTCCCTGAGAAAGGCACTGATAACCCCCAGCAGCAGTAGCCCCAGTCTCTCCCAGCTGGCTTGATAAGCATAGGTCCAGTTCACAACTGATCACACTCATCAGCTTCCTCTCCCCCAGCATGTCTTCCACATTGGTGGGTCACAACAATTTCAAATGATCCACATAAACCGGACAAGACCAAGCTTCTTAGGTATTTTTGTGCAGTCTCCCCAAGCCCTCTTTGATATGGATGACTTGGCCTGCAAATCAGGTGGCAGACTTGTCACAGCAGACTGAGAGAGACTTGGTTTCAGGGTGGAGACGTGCCAGATTAATTAAGCTATTCACCCCAGTTTCAAAACAGTTTCAATGGATGACACTTTGGTAGATGCAGTGGATGTGGAGGAGAAAAGCTTCTGTCACTGTCATACCCCATCCACAGTTTGTCATAAGGATTTAAGCTGACCTGTGAAAGGAAATCAGTTGGAGATGCATAAGTACACATAATGATTTAGTTCTTGGTCTCTTGGCTGACATTGCCATCAAAACTTCCCAGAAATGTTGTACATGTGTGTTTTGTTTAATGTGGGCCCTTGTTCATTGAAAAAAGAAGTGGGACTAGGTGATTTCACACCTAAGAAAGAGAGAGAGAGATTCATGGGTTTGCTAGTACTAGAAGAAAATACCATCCAGAAATGAGATTTTTTTCATTAAGAACATGAACACATCTAGCAGGTTTCTATCAGTTGGCATTTTCCGGTGTCCCTGATTAGGCAATTGGCAAGTGTCAGAAAAGGTTTGAGGTTCCCCAAAGAAATTTAAGAGAAGCTGTTGGAGGATGAGACAACAGCAGCAAATAATTGCCACCATAAAAGTTCCTTTCAGCTTAACCCTAGTATTCAGGAAAAAGATCTTAGCATCAGTGATATTAGAGTGCACAGTGACTTGTCAGATTTCTTCTTTTAGTTTGTCCCCTCTGGAAGTATTTGGGTATTTATGTACATCATAGTCTCTTTTTATGGAGGAGAAAGGCAGATAAGAAGGCAGCCATTGGCCTAGCAATTATGTCAACATACAGCAGTGTTTTGTTACACGGTCTGTTCTTTATTCCTTGATAGTACATACATCGCAAATATGGGCTTTCATTCAGATGGCTAAAAACAATTGTTCCATTTACAAGGCAAACTGTAACAGATAAAAATGCAGATTTTAAAGGGTAGGGCTTAAAAATGAAAACAAAAAAATGTGCCCAAAAGCTTGCAAAGAACTTTTTTCCAACTACTTAGTTGATCTAATAAAAAATATCACACCTAGCCAAAGAACCTTGCCTGCCAAATATCAGTCCTTTCATTTTAGAAATCATTATCATTCTTCAGTGCTCAATTTACTGTGGCCCTTACTGAGGTCAATTCAGGCCACAATTTGTCCTATATAGCAGTAACACTTATGCAAACAATCATGCAATATTATATAAGTGCCTGACCTCTACTATATATAAAGCAGTGTTTTGGGGGCGGAGCGGATGTTGTCTCTTAAACATCAAACTTGTCCTGTATGCTTCGTGTGATCAATGTTTTGTCTGCTTCCTGAAAACATTTGGCAGGTCGTTATCAGCAGTTGCTCTTCAGCTCTGGAATTCCTTCCCTCTTGAGCCTGGACATCTTCCTATTTGGGCAGGCATTTAACAGACAATCATTTGGGTGGGGGGGGGGTTGTTTTGTGTTGATACTCCAGTTGCCTTTTAAATTGTTTTGTTCTCCTGTTTTATAAGCTGCTCTGTCTTTTCCATTCAACATGAAAGCTAAAAACACCAAATCCCACCAATTTAAGCACTAAATAGGTATGCCTGATTTTTTCAAAGGAGCTGAGCATCCTACAACCCTGTGATATTTTGAGAACTAGCATTATAGGCCAAATTGTAATCTCAGGCTGGTATAAATCAGAGGTACTTCCTGCTATTTTCAAAGAAGTGATAGTGGTAAAACTTCAGTATAAGTGAAACTAGGACTGTGCCCTACAGGAAATTTAGAAAAATGAGATGAATTTATATTGAGGGGTTAATTCAGCTACAGAAGCTATAGTAAACAAATTGTTTAACTGGATACTTGCATGCACAGGTATCAGTTTGTCAGTGTAAATGCATTAACAACACAGGTAACAAGATGTGCAATTACACAATGATTGCTTCACATGGCCTCATGTTGATTCGATTGATTGGTTGTTTTTTTTTTAAATCAAGCTTGAAATATTGCTGATCTCTGCTTCTTCTGAATATTTTTTATTAGTCATTCATTTCAATGTAACTCAGTTGTGACTTTTTTTTCCTATATTTGGATTGACATGTTTAGAAAAGCCCCACAGAAGATGTCTCTCAAAGCTCCGGATGAGGAGGACTGCTGTGTACCTCAAGCAAAATCACTGCGTACTTTCATGCACTGCACACTTTCTTCCGGTGAGAGAACGAATGCAAAAAGACATACTTTCCTGTTGGATCACTCAACCATTTCCCTCTTGTTGCCTGCAGGAATCCTCCATTTTCATTGTAATGGGCTTTGGAATTCTTCTTCCTCTGGCTTTTTTTGTAAGGGAGTGTTTCTAGACAGCTAGAAGGTGGAGCCATGAATGACATAAGAGCTACAAGGGAGTGGTTACAACCAGGTAAACTTCAAATAATAGACACAGATACTGTAAATGGATTAACTAAAGGCTGCCGCAGCTGCCCCGTGGCTCAGCCAGCTAAAGCACTCCGGTCCAAGCCACACACATGGAGCTGAAGGAAAACAAGATAGGGCTTTCTGAAGCAGATGGAATTGACAACTTTGCCTTTCAGGTAAGCCTCAGATGTATTGCGGCGTGGAGGGGTGGGGTGGGAATGTTAGAAAATAAGCAGATCTTTTTTAGTATCTTAGCAGAGGGAGAACTCCTCTTGCTCTGCCCATACAACAACTAAGTTGCAACATACTGCACACCTGTAGAGAAATCCTGCCAAAGGACAAGACTTAAGTAAAGGTATCAACACATTTGGCACCTTTATATGCAAGGCTCCCAGCATCCTGGTATATCTCGAAAGTCTCTAACTTCACAGTATAGCATGTGCTCATGGATCTTACCACTCTTACTTTTCCCCATTATCTTGTGTGTGCTGAGCATCTCAGGCTAAATTTATATTCAGCTGCTATTGCTGTGTTTTCAGTAGGCTTGTTATTTTATACTTCCTGCTTTGGCTGTAGCAGAATCCTGTGGAATTGCTCATCATAGGCATACTCACAGGAGGAATGGGATGAAAATGTTAAACTCAAACCTAAACGTGTTATAAAAGAGCTAAACGTACCCTATGAGAGGCAGTCCTGAGTAGTTGCTAGGAGCAAATACCTTTTTTTTATTATGGGCAATTTGTAACTGCCACTCTATTCTGAAGGGTGTGGGGAGTCGCCACCAGATAGAGCCACTGCACTTTGTCAGTCCCTTCCAACAGGAATGGGAGGGATAATGGCTCTGAAACTGCTCTGTGGCCTGTGAGAAAATGATTCCATGCCCACCCCCTTCTCACAAAGCCTAGTCTCTACAAACCCACCTGGTGCTAAGCTCAGCAAGGCAGATCAGCAGGGAGGACTCTCTGTGGGGTGCTATATATGTAATCCAATCAATTCAAGTTAGGCATCCAGCTCTTCGTAGATAGTGAGCATCCAGAATACAAGACTCGAATG